CTCTCATGGGGGCCTGGCGGGAATTCAAAACTAGGAACCAAAAGTCTCATTTTGGCAGGATTTTGCTTTAATTTTCGGTTTCTAAGGCTTTAAACTTCAAAAATATGATATATTATAATCTGCAAATTTTTTCAATAATGTTATCTACTCAGTATACTGATGAACTCTGATTTGTTTATTTCCACCGATAAAGCACAAAAACATAGCCCGATTATACGAATAAAGAAGGAGAATTAATTAAAATACGGGTAAACAAGGCTAAAAATTATTGAAACACTTAAAGGCAGGACGTTTCGAGCTGCTACCAGCTCATTTTCAGCTGCAAAAACACATAAAAACAAGTAAAAAATTGAGTGGCGACCTGACCCCAGCCGTTATTATGAGTGGTTACGTGATAACGGCTGAGGTCAGGTCGCCACTCAATTTTTTACTTGTTTTTATGTGTTTTTGCAGCTGAAAATGAGCTGGAAGCAGCTCGAAACGTCTTACCTTTTAGTGTTTCAATAATTTTTAGCCTTGTTTACTCGTATTTTAATTAATTCTCCTTCTTTATTTATTTCCACCTTAATTATTTAATCTGGAAATATTGAACCACATAAATTCTACTGAGAAACTAATTCTTGAATTCTTCGGAACGTTTCATCCCACAAAAATCTGAAAAAGAAGTATTCTCCCGCCGAAAATCTGCTGAAAATAGCCAAAATTTCAGTTTTGGTTCCTAGTTTTAAATGCCCATGGATTTTCCCGCCAATGGCGCTCACAAAGCTACTCACGCTCTTCCGCCGATGTTAGCGATCTGGACTAATCTGTGGATAGGGAGCAAATACGTTGACAGGGCTGCCACTTTATTTGGGGACTCCAAAACTGAAAGCACGGCAACCGTGCTAATGTATTTGCTCCCTATCTTTGCATGGAGAGTTTGCCTTGATGTAGAGGTGGACTTTCAGGATAGCGTGGGATATCCCCGGTCATTTTGGCCTCAACTTGAGAGCTTTTTTTTGAGCTCAGGAGTTGATCTCAGAGAAAACCAGTGGCACCATCGTGTTTCTCGCGAACTTGTACAGAAGAATCAATGGTCAAATCGCAAATCCCTCACACATGCAACATCTCCATTAGGTACAGCTTTTTTTAAAAGATAATTTTCTTGTATTTTTTTTCTTTTTTTTTTTGGGGGGGGGGGTTATTTCTCCATAACTTTTATCGTAATTTTATTACACCCCCCCTAATTTAGCTCAGGCGGCGATCTCAAAGAGAGGAAGAAACGTGAAAGAAGAAGAGAAATGTCTGGGAAGAAAAGAGTTATACGAGAATACCCAAGTTGTTCAATATGGCAAGCTGGGGTCAGTCGTCGCGTGTCTCCTCAAAAAGGATTACTCGCCCATCGGTCATCAATTTAGCCCCTTAATTGTTCGGTCAGTAGAAGAGGATAGAAAGCTCCAGCGACGAGTGTGAAAGTCTTCATAACATAACTTGGAGAATTTATCGATTAATTTTAGTCTATAGGACGCGACCACCCACTACGTTTGAGCTCAGTATCAGTGGAATGGCTTGCTTCGCGATTATCGATTGATCTGCCATTTAACCCTATGGAAAAGGATCGATAAACAAGGCGTTCGCAAGGAACACCCTCATAATCGATCTTTTACCTCAGCTTCAAAGACGGAAATATCGATAATCGAGCATTCACGCCTCGCCACTGCAGTAAGACGATTGGTTGGTCGCCGAATTTTTTTCCCGTCATAGTGATGCAGATATGTTGAGACCCTGCGGGCTGATTATTGAAATTGATAGACAAAAAAAAAAAAAAAAAAAAGAAACTGAAAATAAAACAATCCCATTGGTGGAAGAGCGGGTGGTTGCAATGGACAAAGGAGGTAAGTATTAGACTAACTGACGGCAACCTGTGAAAGACCTGCAGTTAAACGCATATTAGCGCCTGCATGACTGTAGGAATACTTCGCACATTGCGTCAAACAGTGCGGTCGGCGCAAAGCTCGTATTAGCGCCTACAAGTCTGCATGAATACTTCTCGCATCGCATCAAATTCAGTACAGTCGATTGACATGTTAGATATTAACGCCGGCCGTTTATTTCATGGATTCGCCCCGTAAAAGGACTTACTGTCTCGATAATTCGAGCCCTGGCCTTCGTCTCTGCTCATTGGATTCGCAAGTTTTCTTATTAAATTAGCGTTGTTACATACTACTCAGCTCTCTCTCTCGGTCAGAGGGAGTTTTCTCTTTCTTCAGAGTGGGCTTGTATCGCGTGACCACAACTCTGCCGTGCTGTGTAATAGAGTACCTGTATCCCACATAGCACAGAATCTTATGTCAATACTGATACATATTGTTGGATGTTGACATGATATCATCAACACTAATGCAGTATGATATTAAGATTGTCAGTTAAAAGGTATACCGCGTCAGCATGAATATAACACTGATACCTTCAATATATCAAACAACAGTATTGAGTCAATGCTGACGAGGTAAAAAAAAATAACACGAAAAGAAATTAACACGAAAAAATGAAAAAAAAAAAATTATAGGAAGAAAAAGAAGCCTAAGAAAACACGGTGTTAATCAAAGTTATGATGAAAGTCGAGCCACGCACTGATGCTATGCATGCTATAACAGCCTTAACAGGCGTGATTTTAACCCGGAACACCATCAGCTCCTTGTGGTTCAATGGCAGAATACTGGGCTAGGAATTCCGCGGTTCGGGTTCAAATCCACCTGAGGGCGTCCGGGTATTTTACGCTACTAAACGTCGCAGGACATCAAGTAAGTGGTTTATAATATTCAATACTTGTATACTTGTGTAATTCATGTTTCAAATGTAATACATGTGTAGTACTATGAAAATGACGGTCATCGTCTGAACTTTCATATCTACTTGACAGAGTGCGCTGAGTGTACAGACGTGTCAGTGTTAAGGTAGTAACGCATACATATTGTCGGTGTCCTGCAGTGTTCTGATGACCTTGTCATAACCCTGATTTCCATATGAAATCAACCTTTTCGGCCAATACTGTAACAATATTTTGACAGCTCCAAATCAGTAACTAATAAATACTGGCATAGTCTTGATATAATATTAAATCAGGATACATCAGCATTTTATAAATACTGACACTACTGACGTGTCAGTACTATTGTAGTATTATATCAATATTCTGTGCTATGTGGGATAGCGAGAGTATGGACAGATGTGAAACTCCGAAAATCCATCAGGCCTTCACCGATGCCTCCGTGAATGAAGTTAGGGCCCAGAAATGCAGCCAACCTATGAATTTCGAATGTCCAGAGCGATTTTTAAATACAATTGTTACGAACCGCCGTTTATAGAGCATGTATTTGGCTTACTTTTAGCATAAATTTACTTATTTTTGCAAAAGAACGTTCATTTATGTACATTCTTGGCCATCTTGGTTAGAATTGAACTCTGTAGGCTGGCAGTGAAATTTTGTGTGTTAGAAGTTGCTCAGAAGGGTGGCTGCACTTTTGGGCCCTAAGCCCTCCATCAAGCGATCTGTCCATACTCTCGCTATAAAAGTACTCTAGTGTAAAAACGCCGTATGCACATTCGAGAGTTGCCAAATTTCATCTAGTCAAAAGTTTATTTTTTAGGAGCGTTATGAATATTTTCTCGCGAAACTTTCAGAAGATTCATATCTAATCGCGAATAAAATGCTCCGAAAAATTGGAGGAAAAATATTCACAGGTTGCCCTGAAAATTTGTGTTTTAACAGAGGAATTTTGGCAATGTTTGATGGTCTATACAGCGTTCTTCCTTAGCACGGCAGAACTGTATACATATAACGATGTTCAAGCTGGAAAAACACGTATCTTGGTTTGCGACATTCTAGATTTACCAATATATATTCTTTCACTTTTCCGCAGCACGATCGATTCTTATTTTAACTATTTCTGGCAAACGGAACGACGTGCATTATGGCGTGAGCCCTGTTATGCATACCTATTCTTGTGGGTCTCAGGTCTCATATCTTAATGCACATAGTTCCGTTTGGCAAAAATGCGTCCATTTTTTGCTCGAAATTGCGTGTGATTTTCTCTTGCTTTTACAACAGCACAGTCTGGACATTTCGTGTGAAAATTTCAACGAGCGTCCTCTTAAAAAATAAAGTACTGACCGAAGTTTTGAAACACGGCGAGATAAACACGTGTTTTTCCGCAATTCTACTGTCAATGAGGAGAATCTGTTGTAAAAATAAGTCAGAAGTGGATATTTTGAAATTTCTCAATCGAGAGAGGAGTTTAATTCTTATCATTGGTGTGAATGTAAACTCAGGGACAAATCCGGCGTTATCTTGCCTCCGTCAACGGATATATTTTGGACAGAGCCTGATTTCTTCTTAGTTAGCTCCTTGGATTCCTTGGAAGCATCACACTCTCTCAGAAAAAGAAATCCTCCGTTAAATGCGAAAAGTCCCTGAACCAGGAAATTAATAAAGTTCTTTTTAATCAACTTTGGCCTTTTATATTCTTCCTCTTTTATAAATAAAGTCATTCCATTTCTCAACCATCTTTTTCTTTTGAAGCAGATCTTCTGCATTAGGCCCCGATAGTTGCACAAATCATAATAGAGTTTTCTATTAAAGTCATGTATGGAGACTTGGAGGTAGGACTGAGTCACTATACAGCTGTGTGTGTGCTATACAGTGCATTCCAACTTTGAGCCAATCTGAAAAAAAATAAAACAAATTATAATTTCGAATAAGGGTAATTTGGCAACTCTGTTCTCTGATCAAAACATTGTGTCCAATTTTCTGTTCCGGGTGAAGAATAGAAGTCCTCCTTCTTTCAGACCAAATTCTTTTCTTAAATAAATAACGCGACGCGGGCTTAATGTGACGGCTCTTGTGACACAGACGCGCACATTCAAATTTTCCCGCCGAGAATTGAATTCGATGAAAAATGATGAAATTCTATTGGTTCCGCAGTTTCGTCAGAGGGTACACTTGACAGCTGAGATTTTTGTAAACAAGCGAATCGTACTGCGTGATGAGTCGAGTGTCGATTATTTATTTCAGTCGTAATTAATTTTTTCTTGCAATTTTAGTGATCAATTCCTATTCAGATCTATTTTATTGAACTCTGGTGTCGGTTAGGAAGTTCTTTTCGGTAACGTCGGAAGCTTCCTTCCCCTTCAGTGTTTTTTTCAAGCGACCAAACATCATCCACATCTAGTATGTGGAATTCTGCCATCAATGATCTTCAGTTTTTATCAGTTTCAAAGATCCACCTGTTCTGTAAATTCTGCAGCCTCCTAACGTAGTATTTAATTATATCTCCTGTCTACATCTCAAGGCACTACGATGTCGGATAAAAATCAAAATTCCGGCCAACAGCCGATTGTAAAGATCGGCCACTACACCCTTGGCGCAACCCTTGGAGTAGGCACCTTCGGAAAAGTCAAAAGTAAGGCTTGGTTTCAATTTCATTAATCATAGAGTACAAACCCTCGCCCTCTTCTTTTTGTCTGCAATGTATCAAGGAAGTAAGCCCCACAATAATCTCAAGGTTAACCTAACCTCAAACATACTTGCTCTTGCTCTAACCTTAACAAATTCACTTCCTTGTTAGCTACAAGTTCTTGTCGGAACCAACTCTTTTAATCATGACATTGACATGAATTATTTAATATTGATTCCAGGTAGACTCTCAGAGCATTCGGTCCACCTCGAATGTCCACTGGGTGCTTTACAGCTACAAAAGAGCATTTAATTCCATTATGTTGTAGAGGCTTTTTTACGGAACGGCCTGGAACATTTTTGTTCACTGTTAATATCTTGGAATGAAGTATAATTAGTCATTGCATTTACATTCAAAACCTCAATTTTCGTGTTCGAGTTGCCTTGTCGGTGTCATGTTGATTACTTCATGTAGGACCTCAGTGGTATTCCAAGTATTCCTTCATATATGAAATAAAAGAATAGTTATCAGCTAAGTCTATGCAAACATCAAACTTTGGAAGTGACTACGCATCAAATCTCCGTATTCCATAATTTAATGATAATTTACCAATTAAGTTTGTACTTAATCCTGAAGTTGAATGCTGGCACGAAGGTACCTTAACTTGGGCTAATATCCAGTCTGTTAAAAAAGACCTTCGTTTTCTTAAAGAGTATGATTTGTCGTGTTTGATAAGGATCTAAGAAAACACACTAACTTCAGTTTAGTGATTGTAAAATTAAAATTGTGATTATCCTTGGAACTACTCGTCATTGAACAGGCACAGAGTCAAAATCCTACCAAATTTCAAGGCTTGAGCCCCAAATATAACCACAACACTTATTATGAGGCTAGAGAATCATTGTCCAAAAAAAAGTTTCTAAGTTAATCGAAATCATCAGGACAAGATTTAGCCTGAAAAGAAGTATTGCACTGTTCACAGCAATTGATTTCTGCACTCTTGTTTTGTAGGTAGCTGAATCCTGTCATCAGCTTTTTCAAGTTTATTTTCGATGCCAATGACTTGTGAACTATAGCTATGCTTTTTTTAATTTTTTTTTTTCTCTGGTATTTTTTCTGGTGGTATTTTTTTGTGGTATTTTTCTTTTTTTTTTTAAATTTTTTTTTTGAATTTTTTCCCTACTTATTGCAACATTTTGTCCCAATTTTTTACCTAATATTTGCATACGTGTTAATTTGACCACAATTGAATCCTGGGACAAATCATCCTGACAATATTTAGAGCATTATGACAGTTTTATTCTTTAACATTGTTGGACATTTTTGTTCTTTTATTTTGGAACGTTAGCATTTTTGAATCATACTGAAAGGATGTACACTCATGGACTAATAGGAAGGAGTTTTTGTTAATGACTTGAATTTTTTCAGTCGGTGAGCATCAACTTACCAAACACAAAGTGGCCATCAAAATCTTGAATCGGCAGAAGATCAAAAGTCTAGACGTTGTTGGAAAAATTCGTAGAGAGATCCAAAATCTGAAACTTTTCAGACATCCTCACATTATCAAACTGTAAGTACCTAATCCATTCAGATGCAATTTTAGTCCTTCTCATTTATTTGAATGGAAGAATAAAATCTGGGTAAAAAAAGTCAAGAAAAGCCTCTTTATTTATTGATATTCTCTTCTCTTTTATTGGAGACAGCAATTCTAATAAAACAGTACTTTAATATATTAAATTAATAGATGTAAAGAAGATATTTAACAATCATTAGTAATAGAGAAGAAGGGATAGAATAATATAGTTAATAATATTTAAGTGCTGTACTAATAAATCAGCACTTAAATATATTAAATTGATAGATGTAAAGAAGAAAAATTCCCATTGAAGCGTTTTCTCTCAAAGTTCCATTGATATTTGGCCTTGAATTATTCCCTGAAATAGATTAATATTTGCCAAAACCTAGGGAAGTTTATCCTTTTGTTCTTTTCAAGAATAATTAAATGAAATATAGGTACAGCAATTCTAAAAGAAACAATAACATTGACTTGCATTAATATTGAACACTGCGTAATATATAATAAGAGATTTAGCAAAAGCACAAATACTTTTTTCCAGCAGTTCTGACCTTTCAGCGTGAAGTTAACTTACCAATCCTTCATTATAGCCTATCGCAAATAACAGCTGATCGTGGAGTCTTTGGTTTAAGGTTCAAAGAACTTAAATGTTGGCTCTTGCTCTTGCTCAAAGAAATTTTCCAGTAGATTGATTTCAAAGTCCTCAATTATACGGCAGGACCGGTCTTCGTTTTATCACGAAATTAAGTGTTTAAGTACAAAAAAAACTACTAAATTTTCACTTGTTATAACATAGGATGAAAGAAAAAGTTTTCAGTCTTTTGCTATTCTGGCATGCATGTATTGATTTCTAAAATAAATGTTAATTTAAACTCAATTCATTCTCAGGTATCAGGTCATCAGTACTCCAACAGACATTTTCATGATAATGGAGTATGTTTCTGGTGGGGAGTTATTCGATTACATTGTGAAACATGGCAAGGTAGGTGACATACATTTTTTAAATTAAATATATGATTGAAAAATTAGTGAATGACTAGAAGAAGAAAATTGAATTATGCTTCTTTATAAGGTTTTTAACTTTAGTAAATATTCAAATTATCCCGCTTAGTATAAAAACTTGCTACGCGAATGGGCCACTAGACAAGGCATTAGTTAAACCACCTTGTAGCAAGTTTCCTCTTCAAAGTTACTGAGGAAAGCGATTCACACAATAGGAAGTTTGGAAATCATCTCTTAAAGAGGATATAGTTGTTTACAAGTAACATTAGTCAAATGGTAGTACTTAATGTAAGTGATATTTTAACCTTTAAGGCCCAGATACACCTGCGAGTTACAAGGGCTTGTTGAAAGTGAAACAACATTAGGCAAGGAGGATTTTGATAGCTCGACATTGAGCGATCGAAATCCTGGTGTTTCACTTTCAACAACCGCTTGTAACTGGCAGGTGTATCTGCCGCTTTAGATGAAAAAGTTTTTTGGAATGTTGGTAATTTATATTCAAACATTTCACCCTACCTATGAAACTGCTCAAAAATTTTACAGAAGTTTTAAAAATTCTGTAGTATGAACCACTGCCTTATGAAATTTTTTTTTTTTTTTTTTTAACTTTTATCGAACACAACATAATTTTCAATTATCTTCAGGGAAATGTAGTTTGTCTCTCCTATCAAGTTCTCCCACCTGTTAGCTGTAAATTAACGCTGTGTGCTTAAGTTTGTTGTATTCTAACTCCGCAACATTTTTCTTCTTTTAGTTGAAGGAGTTTGAAGCGCGCCGGTTTTTCCAGCAAATCATCTCTGGTGTTGATTATTGTCACCGGCATATGATCGTTCATCGGGATCTTAAACCAGAAAATTTACTCCTGGATCAAAACCTACATGTCAAAATTGCAGATTTTGGTATGCGTACGAGAATCGTGTCATTTTAGACGAATTTTTGCGAGTGGATTTGGTCGACTCTTTTAATACAGGGTTGCAAAGCAATGGAGAAAAATGCTCTGCTGAAGTCAAAAAGTACGTTCAGTCGCTCAATGAATTTTGGCCATTATTTGCATCCATCCACTTTCTGACCCACCTCCTAGGGTGGGTCGAGAGTTTTGGATTTGGTTGTCATTGCTACCAGAATGAAAACTAGATGTTGCAGGCGCACCATCACCCGGAGGGAATTTCGTTTTGTTGTAACAGAGGTTGGCAGTAAGTTAAAAACTTTAACCAAATCCACTCGCGAAAATTCGCCTTTTCTCTGTTGTTGAGCATGTCAATTTCTAAAGAGTATTGATCTTCAATATATTCCAATTCGTAAAGCAATGTATTCATCGGAACTTGTGCAGTTCACCCTTGACTGACCATTTTGATTTTGGATCAAAATTTTCACTTCAAGAAAAAATTAATTTACTGCATTGATGGGTACATAAGCTTGTCGTCCAAAAATTGCTGTTAATCTGCGAATTCTTAATAAAATGAGCTCAACAAGGTTGCATTCGAGAGTTTCAAGAATAAGCTTTTAACTACTCCTTTAATCTGAGGTTCCTTAGCTGTGTTTGTCTGCTTATGCAAGGGTTGGTGACAAAACTTCTGGAACACTCTAACAAAATGTATCACAAAATATATATTAATGTAATTGAATAAGATGTTAGTATAATACTGTGTCCACACTATTCTGGGAGAAAATCAAGGCCAATAATTTCAATTAGAGCACTCTCCCTTCTCAGTCTTGCACTGATGCATGTCCAAATTTTGGACTCTAATTGAAGTTTTTGGAATTCTTTGGCTTTGATTTCCTTGCAGAATAGTATGAACCCAACGTGTTCTTCCGCCTTGTTACTTACAATCTGGGCCATATTTTTAGTGGTTTTTTTTTCATTGTCTGATTGAGCCTGTAGATGTAGAAGCAAACGAATCACAACTAACATTTTTATTGTTTAGACGAATTTAGTTATTCATACATTGTTCATGGTATATTTAATGTTTTGTGAATGTGAAGATTTGAAAATATGAACCATCCATCGCCCCTAAATGAAGCTGTAAGGAAGAAAACACACCAACTTGGAAACTAAAAAATCCCTAAATTTCATTAAAGATGCCCAATTTTCACAAAAGCCATCTAAGACGGCACATCTATCAACTTTAAAGTGTCCCAAAGTAATTGTCCTCTGGCACTAAAAAGCTTTTTCTTAGACCAACTTTTTCACCCACTGTACAATTTTTTGTGTCTTCTAAACATTTTCGTTTTTTTGAGGTAGTGTGTTTTCATTCTCACTGATTCAAATCTCTGCCATTACGGTTGGTTATAGATATCTCAAGTTCGTTAGCAGGGTGTCTAGCAACCGGGAATGAGAATGACCCAGGAAATAACCGGGGAAAAACTGGGAATTGAGGATCTGAACCGAGAAAAAATTTGAAAATTTGAACGCCGCGCTGCTTTGCGCCGAAGTGCTCGCCAACTGAAATTATTAGTCGCGGAAGGGAATGATTTATGATATTTGGTTCTTCCCATTTATTTAATTTCATTCTCATTTTTTTTACATTTTCGGTATATTCTGCTCTCCAGCAATATTCAGTCCTGTGTAGAAACTTAGTACAGGAGGGTTCCCAGCCTTTCTTTCATAAAAACCGGTGAAATTCAATGAGATAAAAGTAATAGCTCAATTGAAAAAATGGAATAATCATAAATTTCAGGGGGTATAGTGGTCTTTTTTAAATTTGAAGCTATTGGTCTTTGCCAGATTGAATTTTTATCACTGGAACCGGCAATCTTTTTTTCCTTTTATTTTTTTGCTGCATACAATAAAATTCATTTGGTCCCCTACTTTTTCAGAAATACCGTATTAATGCTGAAAATGCAACTTTTCTAATGACATGATTAGTATTTTCATAGCCTCATTAGTTTTTACGAAAAATGGGGAATTATGTCCCCTCTATGAGTTCATTAAGTCTTTAATAAATGGCGAAAAAGAGGGAATTAGGAAGTTGAAAAAAACTAGACACTCTGAGCTAGTTCAATTTCTCCCGGTACACTTTTTCGGCTTAAAACTACGAGTACCTGATGTACACATAAAACATGCGAATTAACAAATAAATAAATCTGTACTTACATCCAAATAAATTTGTTTTAATTATTAAAGTACTCCTAATGTTTTAATAGGTCTCTCTAACATGATGACTGATGGAGAGTTCCTAAGAACAAGTTGCGGTTCTCCAAACTATGCAGCTCCGGAGGTCATATCTGGCAAATTGTACGCAGGACCAGAGGTAGATATCTGGTCTTGCGGTGTGATACTGTATGCTCTTCTCTGTGGATCGCTGCCTTTTGATGACGAGCATGTTCCTACCCTGTTTCGAAAAATTAAAAGTAGGTTTTGCAGTTTTCATTAAAATCCTATCTTTCATGCAACTTTTCTCGTTCTTGATTTTAAAATATCATGAAAATTGGCCCATAAGTTTGCCTACGGTAGAATGCTTCATCTTACGTTTGTTGAGTCCCATTTCATAAAAAGTTCTGTAATGGTCTCTTCGGCCTCAGATGACAGGTTGCAGTATCGAAAAATCAACCTTTTTGTAACGTTTTTAAAATATTTCAACATAGTTTTTTCAATGGATCTCTGTACAAGGTATGAATTGAAGCACTACGCAGCGTGTTGTTTCTTCAAATTTTCAAGAGGAAAACAAATCTCAATGAAAAGTCTGGAAATTAACTTCTAAACAAGACTTAAGTGTTATCAAGTAACATTGGTCAAATGGCAAAAATACAAATAGCATCATTTTTCTGCTCTAACTTCCGTTTAAATCTTAAATCTTAACCGTTTAATCTTTGTTAAAAATCCTTGTTTGTATCTTGTTCAGGAGTTAATTTCGGAACATCCTGTTGTATGAATAGTCTTCTACGTAACATTTTAAAGAGAGAATATTTCATGGTTTTTCCTTCTTCAGACCTTGTAAAGTGGCCCATGGAACCAAAAACATTTCTTCAAACCCTTTCAGTCTTGAATGTAAAGATTTTTCTCATTCCGTATTTCCCAAGATACTTTAAAATAACCTCATTATTTTCAATTTTATTTTTCAGCTGGTATTTTCCCTATCCCGGATTATTTGAACAAAAGCGTAGTCAGTTTGTTGTGCCACATGCTTCAAGTAGACCCTATGAAGCGAGCTACGATAGAAGATATTAAGTAAGTTCAAACCTTGGCATGGCTAGTAAAATTTATTGAGAAGAAAAAGACACTCTCCCCTCTCATGCACTATGTACAAGTGGAAAGAGTTAAATGATATATTGTTAATCGCTCGTATAAATAATTCTATTAAAATTATGAATCTTTTTTTGATGATTCAAGCTTGTAGATTAGCAGTAATTAAAATGAGCTGTCTAACCGCCAAATTTCTACATTCAGTATTAACAGAATTATCACCCATCGAAAAACGCAGCCTAAGACATCATCTATCGCGTTAGTGTGTGTCATGACCTTAGATTAATCAATTGATGATTCAAAGATTTGTATTGCTTTCTAAGTTTATAACACACATGAAATCAAGGGGAGAAAACTAATTTGTACTACCGGCGAGGATGACATCATCCGTCATGTTTTTATGGGTAATATCTCCATTAAAACTTAACATAGAAATTTCCTGTCTGAACAGATATTATTTTTTGCTAATCTGTATGCTGAAACTAATCATCCATTCACAATCTTTGACTACTGTAATTGACCTATTGATTTGAATAGCCGTTTGTCCATTGATGTTTCAATTTTCGTTTCTGCTTTTCACTTTTTTCTTCATTTTTTTGTTGGAATACTGTTACTTGAGCATAATACTTTTGTTCCCTATTGTTTAAAGGAAGCACGACTGGTTCCAACGAGACTTGCCTGCATATTTGTTTCCATCGCCAGTCGAAAGAGACTCATCTGTCATTGACACTGATGCTGTCACTGAAGTTTGCGAGGTGAGGCCTTTTTGCTAAGTTCGTAGTTAGAGTGTCTCAAAGAAAGAGTCTAAGAATTCTGTTCCTGTAGATTATTTTCACTCCTTTTGACCGAATTTAATTATCATACAAACCTGAAGGGTATATTGATACTTAAAGTGCGACACGACGTATCTTCATTGCGGTGTTTGAAAACCTCCGCTCCTTGTTTATTTTTTCAAAGAAAAACAAAAAATTTTTATAGTCCAAAGTTTAAACAGAATACTCTATTTTCAGGGAAGAAAAATCAAGGAAGTTTTTTAAGGAAAAATAAAGTATGATTGGAAGTCTACAATGGCGCAGACGAGAATACGTTGTCTCGCACTTCAGCCATTAATGTGCGAATTCTAGGATCTGTGTAACAAAATTTTCTCTGCTAAAAATTCATCCAGATCTCCTCATTTTATTCATCATTCGTGATTTTTCTTGCAACTTCTGTTTAATATACGTTTAGACCGTTTGAAAGCAAAGTTATTGAAGTGTACTCACAAAACTTCAAGGCGGAATTTAGCTTTTTACTCGGAAAAAATAAAACTTTAAACAAAATCAGGCAGCATGTAATGTAGGTGTGCTGATCTGATCAGTACCTTTCAACTGCTCTTGTCCGAACAAACTTCAAAGAACAATTTTTATTTTCCCAGGGAGGTACAAAAATAATTATCACTGATATTTAATGTGTCAGTCATGTAATGATGGATTCGTATTATTCGGCGGTTTTTGCCATTGATCAATAGATTAATCATGAATATTTGTCTTCGACCAATCACAACTATCATTCTTGTGATTTTATGTATTGATAGATGAGAGATTCAAAAGTAAATCTGTTACTAAATGCAGGAAACTGAACTGAAGAGGTAGGTCTCAAAATTTTGCTCCCTCTCTCCACTAAATTTTTTTTTTGTGCTTTGGTCCATATTCTCTATACTCCCAAGCTGATCATCTCCGTCTTTTTTCCAGAAATTCGGCGTTCAAGAATCTGAAGTACATAATGCTCTGCTGAGTGGAGACCCACACGATCAACTTGGAATTGCGTACCATTTGATTATAGACAACAAGCGAATCGCCGATGAAGCAGCTAAAGCTGAAATTAAAGACTTCTATGTAGCAAGTAGTCCTCCACCCGTCTCGTTCAGCCCTTGTGAACTGTCCTCCTTCCGGCCACATCCCGAAAGAATCGCACCGCTCCGTGAAAGAGCTTACAGTGCGTCTGGGCGGGACGGTGTCACCGATCGAGCAGGCAAGGCGGGAACTCCCGTTAAACGGGCCAAATGGCATTTAGGTGAGCTTACCTTTTTCAATGGGTACACGGAAAAAAAAAATTGCTGATTCAACAATTCAATCGCTAAAAACAGTGAGTGCAATGTTTCAACGCAGATTTTACAACAAAAAAATGCTACTTTTACCACCCCCGTGGCTAAATTAGTTTACAATGTGGTTGAAGTAGCATTTTTTTGTCGTAAAATCTGCGTTGAAACATTGCACTCACTGTTTTTAGCAATGGAATTGTTGAATCAGCAATTTTTTGTTTTCCGTGTATAATTAAATCCCATGGGCCATGCTTGTTTCTGTGAGATCTGTGTAGAGTTGCCACAGAATTTGGAAAATGAAATGCCCTCATGTCTCCCTGATTTCCGTGACAAATTTTGGTAAAATTCCTTGACAATTGAGGATACGCCAGTCGGTCAAACAGACATAATTTAAAATAATTTTCGCACAGAATTTGTTGTTCGAAACAGCGAACTCACTCTAGAAAGCAAATGAAGGTGACTTAACAATTATTCCCTGACACTTAAGTCTTTTTTCCTGACATTTCTAGGTCTTCCTTGACTGTTTAAAATTCCCTGACGCCTCCTGGTTTCTCCGTATTTCTCTGACTTTCGCAACCCTGTCTTTGTCACATCAAATACTCAAGCATTAAGACAGGATGAGAATCTTTCATTCTGATTTCTACCTTCATTGTTAGAATTTGTTCTTCCGAGATAGGGGCTGAAAAGATAAGGTGAACTTAAGATGCATTTTGCAAGAAAAATGATCGGAATCCTCTTAGAATTCGTACGATCAGAAATAAATAAATGATCATTTTCCGCTTCATATTTCTCTAAGCAATTCTCTTCTTCAAAAATTATCTCCCTGTTTGTATTTCCTATTTTCCCTTACAGATATCTGAGAAAATCCCAACTCTTCCTTAATTAGTAGGTGTAATATCTTTTCTTTGTTACAGGGATTCGATCTCAAAGCAAACCCAACGATATCATGAATGAAGTTTACCGTGCAATGAAAGCGCTCGATTTTGTGAGTTTGGAGTCCTTTACTTTTTCTTTCTATTTGAAAACCTGAACTTCTAGCTAGTTTTATAGACTCAGTGTCAGTATGGAAAAATTAGGATTTAAAGACAGAATGTAGTAAAATACTTGAACTCGTTGAAAGAAATGTGTGTGCCACTAGTTTCTGTTCAGATAGACGATTTTATGGATGCGTCAGAAATAGTAATTAATTGCAAAACGCAGTTCAAATGGCACCAATTATTCAATCTTTAGTTTTACTGCGAAGGTTCTGCTCTCAGTGAGCCATCTCATTTTGACAGTGAAACTCACGCATGAGGTACATATCTTAGTGTAGTGCTGACCTCCTGTCATACTTTATTTTTTGAATAGAGAAGTACTCAACATCCATCTTTAAAAATTTGTATGATTTTTTTTCTTGATGCAAAGAGAATTCTAAAAAAACCTCAAGAAATGATGTTCCTTTGTGCTCTTTTGAAAAAACTAAGTAGGAGAGGAGATTTAAAATACCACAAACAGGATACATGGCTTGGGTGTTTTACCGTTGATAAATATCTGCAAGTGCTATGCTTATGTAACTCTTGAACAACATTTCTACAAAAAAATATAAAAAAAAAAAAAATGAAATCGATGAATCCAGTTGGTTTAGATCCATGACATAGAAAAAGGCATCACAATTTAAGGTGTTTTGGAAGCTTCAAAAAACTTCCCCTCTGCCAGAAACAGCAGGTTGAAAGTTTCTCTTGGCATTTTGCTATGAGTAGAAAATTAGATAGCTTTAGAATTTTAAAAAATGAGAAGTCTTCTGGGCACAATATCAAAACTAAAGTTAAGAGAAATATAGTCACCCTAATCTCACTGAATTTTTGTTAATTTTATTTGATTTTAGGAATGGAAAGTGATAAATCCATACCATGTGCGAGTTCGCCACAAGAACAAGATCTATAACAAGTACACCAAAATGTCGCTGCAATTGTACCAAGTAGATTTTAAGAACTACCTCCTGGACTTCAAAAGTCTAAGCAGTGATGAACTGGAATTTAATTACTTTAACACAAATAGTCCTGGTTAGTTGTTTATTTTTCACCCTTATTACATATCACAAATTCCTTGACAGGTATTCATTTTTAAGCTCGATCTGTTAATAAGCCTGAAGAAGTTGAGTGTTGACTGGAAAGAAGCCAAAACCTTTTGAATTGGATTAGCCTCTCAGAATTTAGTTGAAGCCTTTGCGGCTCCATTGCTGTGGACAGAAATGAAATGAGTCCGTAATAGCAAATAGGTTGTAGATACTTCAAAATTTATTCAATTTTATAATCATATCAATTAATGTCAACAAAATGGTAAATACAAGCGTATGTACAGGAAACATGATGGACCACTAGACAAGGTACGAATGAAAGCACTCTCATTGATGTTTTCTACTTAAATTTTCTACTTAAAAAATTTCTACTTAAAAAAATAAACAGATTGCAACAGAAATTGCTGATACCAACTCCTGATCGTTATTAAATGTTTTTTGATGTTTGAATTCAAATCTCTTGCTCATAAAAAAAAAAACAAAAAAACTACCAATTCTGCTCTGAATTTTTTTCACCATTGTGTTAAATTAAATCGACTAAATGAATTTCATTTGTTGTGAATTCTAGGAAAAATTGCACGATTTTAGCAGCATTGCAAGCTGAAGAAGTCCTCGATTCCTTTAAATAAGTTGTCTCATTGATTCTTTGTTTGTTTTGCAGAAATAGAGAAGCTGTCCTGCATCCCTCAAGCAACTGGTCATCATACAATGGAATTTTTTGAGATGTGTGCCGCTCTGATAACTCAGCTAGCTCGTTGATTTCAGGATCTTTGTTTAAGCTTTGTTATTTTCCTGTCACCGGGTAATATTCAACTCATGCTTTGGATAATATTGATAATACAGGGTGATTCAAAAGGCCTGTGCCAATCCTGTAACCCTTGAGGTTCTTGCCCATTTTCAAGATGGCTCCTTTAAAATTAAGAGGGTTCTCAAAAGTCGTTTTCGTTGGCCTAGGAGCACTTACAAAATTTTAAGCCTCTATCTTAATTTGTTCAAAAGTTACAGGGATGATTTCTGGTGCTGGTGGTGCAGGATTTTCCATCATCCTGTATATCTAATTTATCTTTTCAACAATATGAATCTATTTCCTAAGGTTCTAATTTTGAATTGAAAAAAACAGAAACAGCCATTTATCATGTAAGCAAAATTTACTTTAAAAAAAAACAAAAAAACAAAAACAAAAACAAAAAAAACAAAACAAAACAAAAACAAAAACAAAACGGTGACAGAAAATATTTTAAGAGATATAGAAAAATCTATGCTGTAGAAGTCATGATAACTAATTTAAAATGAGTTCGCAAAAAATTCAAAAATTCTCAAGATATTTCATGGCTCTACCATTGTTTTATTTCATTATTTTTATTTATTCATTCATTTTTTCATGATTTTTATTTTTTCCCATTCATTCTTATTTCTATGTTTTATTTTAGTACTTCATAGCATTAGTCTCGCATCATTTCGATATTTTTTAAAATCATATTGAATCAAGATATTGACTCTTTTAAGTGTGATTATTCACCAGTTTTAAGGCCTTTGTATAATGTTAATGCTGCACAATAAGTGTTCTCAGACAGTCAAAAATTCGCAACTGCGAAAGGATTGTAAAACTAGAAATAGACAAAAGTTACTTGATCGTACGATCGGCCAAGGTGACATCATGACCTTGCATTGCGTAAAGTCTTCTCACTGTAGAAAAACTATAAATACTTTAGGATGTCAATTGTAGAATACAAAAGTATTCTTCGTCTTAATTTTTTTTTAAAACAATTATAGTGTAATTTTTTTGTAACTTTTCAACAAGGCAAGGAAAATTTGTCATATTTCATGCAGTGATTATGGTTAGTTTTCGTTTGGTGAATGAAGAATGATAAGCATTTTACCACATTCTTAGACCATGAAGCAAATTTATCCAGTTACATGAATGAAATATATCAACTCTGTGATGATGAGCTAAAGCCTTTCATTTTAAATGCAGTACCGAGCATTAGTGTGGCAACTTTATCTTTTTTTAAACTGAGAATTAAAAAACTGACATCTGCATTAAGTTGTCACCACAATTTAATTCTTAAGCATTAACCATTTCAAGAGATTCAATGAATTTACTTGAAAATCAGTAAATCAATATGATAAATTAGCTTCTTATGCATTTTATTTGTAGTTCTAATTTTCGTGTGCTTTTTACTGTGATTTTCAGTCTGGGTTTCGTATAATTCATAGGAGGTGTTTCCAGATCTTAATTGAAAGGAGATGACTGTTCTTAGCGTTTTTACTTTAAATTTTTGAGTAGGCAGTCGCGAATCCTTGCTTTTGATCCAAAAGCATTTTCAGATTTTTTTCCCTCCGTGTGAGTGCCGTTAAATTTTCTGTGCTAGCTATGAGACGAAAATGTTTCCCAGAGCAACATCGAAACGCCTTGCTTTCAAATGAACACATTTACCACTGATTTTTCTGTATTTTATTTTATTTTTACTTTCACTGATCCTATGAATCTTAAACTACACTTAATGGTTGATTTTGATTAGTCATTTGATAATTACGGCTCTCAAATGTGTTAGAGTCTTAGAAACTTTTCTCACTGATTTTTCCACATTGAATGAAATGCTTGTTTTTACTGTCCAAGATATTGTAGCTTCACATGTTTTTAAAGTGGATAGTTGAGGATTTAGGTTGCATGAAGTTTTACTGGAATCGGTTACCAAAAGTTCTGTCGTATTTGCTAGTTTCTTATGAGAATCATGACCGAGACAATATTCCTGCATATTGATATTAGATTTTGCAACATCTTATTAGTTTACCATCTATAATACAAGTTTAACTTTTACAGAATCTTTAAGTACCTACTTTTATTTTTTTTTTTTGGTTAGTGTTTTTGTTAGTCTTTCGATTTTTAACAATTTTTGTTTCATACCTTAGTTTTTGGTCTTTTGTTTAATTTTTCTCTGGCACAAAGAATTATCCTCATGATCGTAATTCCAGCCTCTGATTCTTTCTTTGAAGTCAGGCAGCTGAAAAATGTAAGTCTCAATTCTCATTTCACGAAGTGCTTAATAAACCAAAGGTTTATTCTGAAGTTTATAAGAAAAAGTTACTGTGGTAACTTCAGAATTGAAATTCTTCCAAGAAAGGTGACTTTATGATTCACATACAAGGTGAAAAATAATATTAATTACTGGGAGGAAGAGGCCTCTAAAAGAAGGATACCTAGAAGTACTTTGTAAATTCTCCAGTTTAAAAATGTTATTTATTTGTTTCTTTTTTGGGCATTAAGTGTTAAGTTAAGGATACATTTTGGTTTGTGTATCCTTCTTTGGTTTGTTTTACACGTCCAGTGCCCTATAGATTTACAGAACCAAAGTTAAAATTGATTTTACAAACCAGTGAGTTTATCATGGTATAATTAGTAATAGATTCGATTCAGATATATTTTTACAAGGTAATCCTAGTTGTATGATGTTGTTTATGAAGAGTTATTGTTTGAAATTTATGGTTTGATTTATCTGAAAAAATCTTGATTTTATTTTTATTGTTGTTGCTCGTTTTGTATAATCTCTAGGTTATAGAATAATTGTTCTGTCTGTACCCTCAATTTGTATTTTATTATGAATAGATGAAGCCATCGTCTTTTTCAATGCCTTTTTTCAGTGTCTTTAATTCATAACTTAGCCCTCCCAGTCAACAATGAAATTGCTCGACTCACTCGCCAAGATGCATAAATGAAACTATGAACAAAGAATTTGTAAGATAACTCTACCATAGATTTTACTCACAGCACTTCTCTGCTAAAGAAGGAGAATACAGCTTGAAAGCTTAGCTCAATTTTTTTATTTTGACTGGGACCTCTTTGATGGTCTTTCGTGTTGTTGGTTTGTATTTAAGAGGGCTTTCCTTTATTCTTATAATCTTGCAGTACATATTCCAGTCATTTGACAACAATGCAGGGACACTGGGAAGTACACAGCATGTATAAAGTAAATGGCAGTGAACCTTCTGCCGAACTTGAAAAAATGGAAATAATCAAGGCACACCCAAAACTGTACTGTAGGTGAAGAAGTTAGTCCAAGAAAAAGATTTTTAGTGCTGAAAAATAAATACTTAAGGACACTTTGAAGGTCCAAGTTGAAACAGATGCATTAACTTCAATGACCTTAATGAGAATTGACTGTCTTTGATAAAAATTGAGCATTTTCGAGTTACCAAGTTGATGTGTTTTCGTTCTCACTGAATCACATATCGATGGTAAAACTTCCCTACTACATATCTCGGAAAATCCGATTTTTCAGGAGAGCAAAAACACTGTCTCTGTTCCTTATTTTTGATGATCGAAAGGTAATAATTCTTGGAGATAGATGCGATAAGATGCTTTTTACCAAGCCTTGAGCATTTTTGAAAATAGCCCCACCAGTGAGCTGATTATTGAAACTATGTCAGCACGACAAGACAAGACATAGCACTATCTTAACCATACAGCTTATCCCATTTCTATGTCTTATCGGGCTGCTATAAACTTTCAATAATCGGCCCAGAGTTAGGAAATACGGAGGAAAAACCGAGTGATATGTTTTGAGAATTAGGAACCAACACCATTACTTCTAGCTCGAGATATGTGAATTTCGAATTGAGGTTTTGAGCCTGTTATTTGAAGATTTTGATCGATTTAAGGCATAGCGAAGAGTCATATTGAACAGTGTGATTAAATTAATACACTGGAAGATTTTGGTGCTCCGAAAGCTGGACCAGTCATCGTGTTTTCATTAATAACAATACCTTCCAACGCCATGACAGACTAGGTAACCCATTCTGTAAAAAGTATAGGTAACTGGTTAGGTACCTCATTAAATAATTGTCCCAATACTACTAATAAAAAAGGTAAATTTCGTTTTCCCGATGGACGAGTCGCCTTCCAAAACAAGCGTATGCAACATCGATGACACGTCTTGTCCGCATTCTCGCATCATTCGTTACTTGCGGACATCTGACACACACCTGCATGTCACTCCATCATGCGGATGACCTTAGGCTGCCTTACTCACCCCGACTGTTAATTTAGTAGAGCATAAGTACACTTTTCATTCAGTAGAGCTCAACTGTTTTGGTACTTTGTGTGTGCTTTGCATTCATAAATGACTTTCGTTAAAAAAAGTTTCTTAGCGTAAAAGTGCATACCTTCCCTACCATAAGCGTCAGTGAGCGTGATTGACACGGTTTGTGGGGGCGGGAATAGGGGGGGGATTACGTTATATTTTGTTATATATTTTCGCTCGCGACGTTTTAGGATGAAAATGTATTGTTTTGGAAGAATGAGGGTTTTTTTAAAGAAATGTTTTATTTATTTTTTTTTAATTTATTTATTTTTTTTATTTGGTCCAAATGAGGAAAATATATAATTGAGATTTTTGGTAAAAATGGGGGAAGGCCAATTCCACGAGGGAATATTCACTGAAAATCTCTCCACATCTTTGGTGCAAAAGGATTTAATTATCTTTCAAGAAAATCCCATCTTGTTATACCTGAACCGGATGAACCTTTTGATTTGCCTCAGCTGAGGGCTCTCTCAGATTTTTCCCGTCTCCGATAACTTCGCAGCAACGCTCAGTGGGTCGAGTCAACGGGGGAGGGTCGGACAAAATGTGGAAACTGTGAAAGCTTAAAACTCCGTTTTTACAAAACTTTGAGGTTTTAAAAGTGGTTTCATTGGGTTTCTCGTAAAATCTGCCATCTTGCAGCACCCTTCAAAATGTAAAATATGACGAAATAAACAACAGCATTCGGAGTTTTAGTCAAAAGTTTCGTGTCCAAACTCTCTGATTGACTCGATCCACTGTGCGGCGCAGCGCAGGCGGACCACGTTGTTGCTTCGAGCTACTATTTCGCCACGGAGGTGTTGCGCAGTAGGTATCATACGAGATTGTAGGCACCCAACGGATCAGGCTTGATGACATCTTTCAAAAAGCACGATGTTCCCGTGCAAATTAAATCGGGTGACGACGACAAAAAGGAAGCGGCAGTCGAAAAACTTACCAAGTCCTAGTATCCGTATTCACTAACGATTAACATGATTTTTGAACTTCATTAAAGGAAAAAGTGGCTTGATTCAAACAGAAATATGCTCAAATGTACCGCCGAGAATGAATCAATGAAAAGAATAATGCTTGTATAAAGAAGAAAAAATGCTTGTATAAGGAGAAAAGTCATTTACATGAAGCAGAAACCCGCTTTCATTTAGCGATTTTATTCTTGATCTAAAATAAAATCTTCTTGACGGCATACTCAATAATGTTTCTGCCCGAATCAAGTCACTATTTTCTCTAATGAAATAGAAAAAAAAAAAAAGTATGCTAAACGTTATGAAATACGGATGTAAGTACTTATTGAGTTTTTGGACCACCGCTCTCTTTCGTGCCGTAGTATCTTGATTCATTTTGTTAAAGGATGCCTGACATTCTCTATACGTTGAAGCGCCTTCAATTTCGTATGATACTGTGCAACACTTTTGTCGCGAAATAGTTGCTTGAAGCGCCGTGGCACTCCGCGGCGCGGCGGGCAACCAGAGTGACCCGCGCATAGGCGCCTACAAACCTAACGGGGATACTTCACGCTTTGCGCAATGCGTGAAGTATCCCTGTTAGGTTTGTAGGCGCCAGCGCGCGTTCCTTACTGGTGAATGATACACTAAGAGGGAATTTTCTGATCAGAAAACTTTGTGTAACCATGGCCAGAATGGGTCGGTTGCATGTAAAAGATACAGCCAACTGAATTCATTTGTACCTAAAGGATAAATTCGCTTGAAAATGACGTTGAACACATAAAAAAAAGTCCGAAATCCTCTCCTTGGCGCGCAATCTGCGTAGTTTGTAACCCGTAGTTGTTGTGAAGAACAAATGAGGGGCTTGCAGAACAGGGCGCAAAAGCCAGTTTTTGAAAAAATTGAGTTATTCATGATTTCAGTGGAAACTAGTATTAAATTACATCCTGTGAAAAATTAACTGCTAAAATCCAATTTTCATGCATTTAAAATAGCGAGCTTGAACTTTCTCTCCACTAATAGGATCCATTTAATTCTGATCTCATGAAAATATCGTTCTTGGAGCTTTAAATCCATGGGCGTGCCTAGGTCATTTTTCTAGGGAGGGCCTGCCCCCCTTACTACCGTGGGTGTGGGGGATATGGAATATCCCTCAGTACAGAGAGGGGTGTGGGGGGCCTCACCCATGGATGTCGGATGCGATACTATTTCCAATTCGGGGGGGGGGGGGAGGGGCATTCGTACACCCATGTTGAAATCGTTCTGGGTTAGGTTTGATGTAGTTGTATTTGAGCGGTTTTTGTGACAGTTCACAATAACTCGGCCCTACTGCCTCGATTTGGACCGCGTTAAACATAAAAGAACCACACACATGGCCACATGGCCAAAACTTGGGCGATTTACTTTTTTACATGAAAACGGTTGTGCGGATTTTTGGGCAAATCTTAGTGAATTTTTTGCATAGTACAAAGTAATTTCTTTAAAATTGCCAAAGGAATCCGCACATACCTACGTTCTCTTATAAAAAATTAAATTGCCCAGTTAAATTTGGCAAAAGCTGGTGTGGCTTGGTACTTTTCTGCTGAGCTCGGTCCATTTACAGTTTTTGTGGGGCACTGAGGTACTTTTCCTCATGAACGCAGACGGAACACGATCACAGTCATCATGTACTGCTATCAGTTTGGGATACACACAGGAAAGCTTGGAGACTTAACCGCAACCGTAGAAAAGTAAACCATTTCATGGCATGAGAATTACTCCCTATTGTGGTCCAGTCAAGTCGGCCATAATACCAATGCTGATACAGGTAATACTGATCTGTCAATATTGACATAATATCGATATCATCATGTTACTTTGGAAAAGGACTAAATGTAGCAGATGTCGGATAAGAATACCTGGAAATATTGAAACGAATATTATTTTCCAAGAGATATTTCTAGCAAAACTCTTAGCAATTTTGATCGAATAGAGCTTACAAGTAATCGCAACGCAGAAGAAATAAACATTCAGACTGAAAAAAGCGCTGGTACTGCTTATTGCCAGTCTTCATTTTCATTTTTGAAACGCTGTCTCCTGGAAATATGAGTTAATAAATTATTGAAAAAATAAATTAATCAAAGTAAATAGACCTTCTCTCTTCATCGTTGTTCGGTAATTAATTTTGGGGGTTGCTCCCTGAAAACCAAGAGGAGGAGCGCCACGGCGCCTCTGTGTCCCCACGTTTCTCCTATTAAAGAGGTCAGAAAAGGGTACATTTTTGGTGAAAATTGTGAACCAAGGAAAAATTCAAACGAGAAAAAACACAACGGAAAAATCCAAATGTACATTTAAAAAAAATTTATTGACAAAAATACATTGTGCACAATTGTACATCGAAGGCAACAAGACCGGACCAGCGAATCTTTTTTCTTTTTTTAATTTAGCATTTAATGTCCTTCTAAAAGCAATTCCAATATGTCACATTATGAGAATATACACAGGTTCTTGTTACAGAAAAGGGCCCCCAGGACAGGGGTGCTCAGTATATTGTGATATACACTATAGCTAACATACTTTCTTATTATGCATACATACAGCAAATCATGTTGGGTGTGATCTACAGAACCTTCTCTGATTCTCGTCAATCTCTCGTGTCATCTGAGACTCGTCAGGGAGCCAAACAGTTATACAGGGTTATTCAAAAATCACGCACCACTGGCCATAACTTTAGCTCTGATTATGATATCGATTTGCGGTTTGAGACGTATTCCCTCATATTGAGGGGGAAAATTTTTTAGGTACTTTCCAGTTTTTGATCCCCTCAGGGGGAGGGGGCAACTCAAAAATTTCAAATGGCCACCCCTTTCATGGGCAGTGGTGCGTGACTTTTGAATAACCCTGTAGATTTTTCGGCGTGACTTCGACGTAGCATTTCAATGCATCTGCCTGAGCTAAACACCTTCTCCCCCGGTCTCATATCTCCGGCCAAAGAATCACAAATGCCATGCGACGTTTCAAAATTTCCGCCGCCATTTCATTTTTTGCAGAGAAACTGTTGGTTGAATCTGTTTGAAAATTTCACTGAATTTCATCGGCAGCGCAAAGGAAATTCAGGGAAACTTTCGGACAGTTTCGTTGAACAGTCTCTCAGTAAAAAAAAAAAAAAAGCGGCGATGGGAATTTTTAAACGTCGCATGACGCTTGTGATACTTTGGCCGGAAGGTGACGATATACGAACTTAGGTTTTTACCCACAAAAGCTTAGGTCTCTAACTCTGATTGAGATTTTGGGAATATTTTAGCACCTCTTTACAGACAGCTCGGGCCACATTTTTGGTGGTTTTTTTTCTTGTAAATGAATAAATATGAAATCAACAAATCAATGACTCTTGTCGGTATGCGTTCGCGAATTTACACCGAAATGGGTGACAGAAACACTTGATACGCTATAACTTGATGTGACACAAGCGGGGGGGGGGCGGCGGTTCTAGAGTACCTGTATACGGGAGAGGACTGCCATTTTAATATTTTACTACAGAAAAAGTGTGCCGCTCTCTCATTGATCGGCTATCATAATAGAGCCCAAGCGACTAAGTTCTACGAAGTTTTAGACGAGATTTTGGATGTGATTAAAATTTTTTTATGATCAACTTCTGAGTTGAGTTCGGATCGACCTTCAGAGGATCTTTTTCCGAAAATTAACGTTGGAGTGTGATTATCATTCATTTCTTAGCCGATAATACGTATTCCTCTGGGTCGGGTTGTTTTACATTGGTCCAACTTTGGAGCTCCATTATAAACCGATTATATATATATATATATATAACCAACTTGTGAAGGAATGAAATAAAAATTGAAAATTAAAACCCAATGTGTGAAAAATAAAATTAAAATAGAAAAATATTTAAAAAAGAACTAAAGTGACAGTACTTAATTCTGAACTTTGTGAAACTAGAAGTTCAGAAAAATTAAAATAACTTTGAATTTTATAAAATCCGGAACTCTTTGAACTTTTGAAAGATAAGAAAAATTAAAATCATTCTGAACTTTGTGAAATCTGAAAGACTAAAGTAAAAATTAAAAATGGATAACATCAAGCGCGATGAACTTAGAGACATTGAAAAACTGAAAGATACCAGCAGTTTTCAGTTTTGGAAATTCCAAGTTGCAATTGTCCTGAAAGCTGGAAATGCATACGAGATAATGTTGGAACCCTATTGCCGCACAGCGCTGCCCTCTATGGGCTCTCTTTGTCAACTGTGTACTCTTACTCTCTCTCTCTCTCGCCATGTTCCCGTTCGTTCATCACCTACCGCTGTACGTTTTCATGTCGAATAAACCTGTCGTCTCCAAGCTAGACTAATTCTCTAGTTCTTTCATCCGTTTTTTTCCTCTAGGAAACCTACAGGTTATGCGCCCAGTCACGTTTTCTCCTCTTTCCGCGATGATCGGGATATAATGTGTAATGTACGCGAACGAAAGTCTAGATTGTGATTGATTGTGATTGAGCCTAAAATTTGTGCCGGGACTACCTCGTGCCTCGTGCGTTGGATTGTGTCGATTGTCGGATTGAAACAGATTGTGCTTGAACGATACGATGGCAGATAATGATACGGAATATAAAAGCAACATACCGCGTTTAACACACAAAAACTATTTTGCATGGGCTCTTCGGGCAAAGGCCGAACTCATACAAGCAAATGTGTGGTGCGCCATTGAACCAGGCTTCGGTGACTCGGAACTTGCTGATCTCAACCTTGACCAGCAACGGCTGAACCGGAAAGCTATCCACTTTCCTGTACAAAAATGTAAGCGATAGCTATCTCAGCGATATAGCTGATTGTACGTTGGCGAAAAATGCCCAGATTGTTTTAGCAGAAATCTATACGAAGGTAAGCTTTCTGCAAGGCTTGAGACACTTACGCTCTCTCTTCACTATGTCCTTTAATGACTCCGAAGAAATCCATGAATATGTCGCACGCGTCCAGTGCTAGTATCAACACGCGAAATCTTCTGGCTGGGACTTAACGGATAGGCAACTGGCAGGAATCATTCTTCTGGGGCTTCCGCTGAAGAAATACGAAACCTTGATCGAGCAACTGGGGAAACAAGAAAACTTGACTGTAAGGTTGGTGAAGTCCAGACTACTGGAGGAAGGGGGACAAAGTGTGAAACCTGCAGCGGATGGGGAAGATGGAAAGAAGGACCAAAAAAACTCAAGGAATGGCAGAAAGGAGACGCTCTTGCACAAAAAGTGATCGTGCAAACGGTGGAGAGAAGTGTGATGATTCATCTCATGAACTGTGACAGCGCAAAAGCAATGTGGGATGTACTTTTGAAACTTTACGAACGAGATGACACCGAACAAGGATGCCGACTTCTGGAGGAATTTTTCAACGCTGAATATCAGAAAGGTACTTCCATCATGAGCCACGCGAGTACTCTGGAGAATCTCTACACAAGATTGAATGCTATTAAGGGAAACGTGAACCGATCAGAGAGCGGAATAGAGATGGCAATACTCTCCCGTATACAGGTGCCCTGGAGGGGGGGGGGGGGGGGGGGC